GGTGAGGCCGATTCAACAAAAGGAGGCTTTACAGAAGGCTTGATACTGTATTCAGGCTTTCTAGATGAGCGTCTGCGACGATAATGATGTCGCCTGAAGTCATCAACCGCTTTTCGGTGAGTCGAACGGTCCCTAACCATTTTCTTCATAACCGAAATCTTCTTCCTTATTTTCGGACACTCTTTTGATGTGGCGTCGTGGAGCCCTTAGCAATTCGGGCATATATAGGAATTAGCTTTACAGTTGTCGGCAGAGTGTGGTGCGCCACAACGAGAACATGTTGTAAGATTTCCACAGACGGCGCTCACATGACCAAATTTCTGACATTTCCAGCACTTAAGTGGCTTAGGGACAAATGGCCGCAGAGCATGTCGGAAATGACGCACCTTAACAAGTGTTGGCAGGCAGTCACTCTTAAAGTCTATCTTCACACATCTCGACTTTCCTAGACGGCACACTTGTAGTATTTGGGTCCCATAATTAGCAGGCTTAATAAGAATCGGCAGATCTTCGTTCGAGATGGTCACATCGATGTCATATATGACGCCTGTAGTGGCCTGTTTTCCTAGCGGAATGATATTGTGAACAATCATGCCGCCAAAGATGGTGACTTTGCTCAGTGAATCTAACGCTGCCGCTTGAGCGACGTCCACTGCTACAATATTTTCCGGGGATTTACTCTGATATCCTTAATACTGTTCGGCGACAGTGCCTCGATCTCTGAAGATACAGCTTGCCTGTTCAGTAGTCTCATGTTGATGGATGGTTGCGTAGGTGAGAATACGACAGTGTACCTCGGCGGGCTTTGCGAGGCCCTCCCAGCAGATGCGTCCATGGATGCCCTGAGCATCTTCCGCTTTGCTTTCTGGCTCATGACGGTCACGTGTTCGTCGTCGGAGCTGTCGGCGCTCTCGGCAGTGTCAATGAGGGTAGCCTCGCTGTCACTGGAAAGGCAGTTTCACTTCCTTGAGGCTGCCGGCGCTGTCGCCGGCAAATAACTGTAATAATAATAATAATAATAATAATAATAATAATAATAATAATAATAATAATAATAATAATACTTGGGGTTTAATGCACCAAAACCATGATATGATTTCAAGGGACGCCTAAGTGGAGGTCTTCGGAAATTTCGACCCTTTGGTGTTCTTTACCGTGCATTGACGTCACATAGTACACGGGTGTCACAAACGAGTGCTCAAAAAGAAAAAAAAGAGCGCGCCGCCGAATTCTGGCGACCAAGCGCCAGAGAGACACCTCAATGTCAACGCCAAAGAAGAAAACAAGCATCCAAAGACTCCCCGGGTGCGCCATCTCTCCCCCCTCGGAAGCGTAGTTTCGCCGACCAACCTCCTCACATCACCGGCCGAGCAAGTCCTGAAAAGGTGTGGAAGGAAAGGGGCGTGGTGATGTAGAGTTGCGTAACGAGTCGTGGACGGTACTCGAAATGTCTCGCTCTTTCCCCAGCCTTGGCTGTGCATCGCGCCGACGAAACGTTTAGAATTTTCTGGAATCTAGCGCCAAAAGTATTTTAGCGGGCAACGGAGAAGGGAAATCAGGAGAAGAAAATAGTTTATGCCAGTGTGCGTAGGCAAGAGATGAAGGAACTTTTGTGCAAGTGTACGTAGGGTCATTCCGCCATGTCGGCGAAGGCTTTTGTCGTCAGTGACAAAGCAGGAGATGAAGAGGGTTGCCGCCTGAAGGGTGAAAGCTGGTGCTACCAGCAGAAGAATAGTGTGAGACTACTGCCAGAGAGCGAAGACGCGTCCTGCAATCGCAACGCGTGGGAAGCCGACGTGTTACGGGCGAAGAAGTTTGGTGCTTGGAGAGCGGCCAATTGAAGACGCGAGGTTTCCTGGAAGAGAAACTTCGGGGGCAGCGGAACGACAACAGCGCTGGACTTTGAGTGAGTGATTCTTGGAAGAGTATCATTCAGATTTTGTTTCAAGGACTTTGGACTGAATAAGTTTTCGAACTCTTTAGTCTTTAAGTGTCTTTGTGGTTCGATGCATGTAATTGCATCGTAGCGCATATTGTTGTTTGCGTCCGTTGTTTCGATTGTAGCTGTTTGTACTGTGTAGTGCGTTGTTTGATTGGTGACATAGTATATTCAACTATTGTCAAGTGTAGATATTTGTGTATCGTTTGATATGCCATATTTGAGAATATAATTTAGTTTTGTTCATCAACTCTCGGCTCTGACTCGTTCTTTGGGCCACAGCCGGCGTCCGCTGGTGCGCCAAATTGGACCACTTCTAAATTGTCCGTGCTTTTGTGGTGCAGTCCAGGTGGCCGATACTACGGCCCTTGGAATCGGCCCGGCGATCGCCTCCCTAATTAACGAGACCTGTTACAACGGGCCTTTAGCGTTTCGCCTCCATCGAAACGCAGCGGGGCGGGGATCGAACCTTCGACATTTGGGTAAGGATCGGAGCACCGTAGCCGCTATATGCCCGTGGTCGACCGCTTGTAGCTCAAAGGCAACGAGTAACGCTTCACAGGGCTCATGCTATCGAATCAAAAGCAGCGCAATGTATGGGTAATCTCATATTTATCGCGTGCAATGCTATCCTTTTAGTAAATACTTGCACAGGGCTATAGGTCCCGCTGCCGCATCGGAACTATGGAGCATCTTCTGGCGTGAAAACACACATACACATGCACTACACCCAGCAGTGACGAAGCAGTAAATGAAACCTAGCTACATGCGTCGGCGCACGAATTTGTACATGATGGGGATTGCGGATCGAGCAGAAATGTGTTCCGGACTTAAACAGATGCACTTGTTCTGTGTCCTCACTTGTCGCTGTCGATTCTGTGTTCGATGTCATACCTTGAAACTTGAAGCAGCTGTCGCATACGAGGAATCAGTGACACTCTTGTCAAATGACACATTTAAGCCTCGAAATAACACATACACAGGTCAAGGAAACCCGCAACGACAAGGACGGGCGGTCAGTGTGTATTTGTTTACTCTATGTATGCGTTATTTCGCGGCCCAATATGTCATTAAGCAAATACCCACTAGGCTACAAACAGACTTGTCAAAACTCTTGGCAAATAGTGGCGTTAACGGCAACACTAAAGATGAACGACGCGTGGTGCCTACAGCGTTGCGAAGACGCGAAGTGTGCACATGGCATTATAAGTGATTTTGCACTTAGGTTTCCAAGGCCCGGCGTGTACTGTATTTTAACGCGTCTGTTGTAGAGAAACGTTGCCGCTTGTGCCAGTCAGGTGACAATAGCAGTGACACTTGCATAGTACAAAAGAGAAAGTGAATGTCAATTATATGCTGGCCTTGAGTTCAGCTTGGATGCTAAAAAAACTCACCGTGGCAAGCTAGGTCGAACATGCAGCTTTTCTATTCCTACAGTCTGTTTTTCCAGTATTCATCATCGCGTGCAACGCAGATATGAATGAAACAGTTCAAAAAGAAACACAAGATGCATACGATTTCTAGACAGTATTTTTTGTGTCTTCATATATGCCGATTTCACGTGTTGGTAGTTATCTCTCAATGTGTCCATTTTCGTTCTTTAATATTGTTTTCTTTCTACGACTTGTCGATTCTATATACTCCTACTTTATTTTAAAAAACTTGAATCTTCTATTTGTACTTGTTATTCTGGCGCCTCTTGGTGTGTGAATGGCACACTAAAATTTTGTTTGCCGAGATGCTCAGACATGCGCCGTTGCGTAAAAAAAGTTTCATTGTTCTCGAGCTACGTATACATTTCGTTAGTCTGCCTAATTTAGATGTAAAATAATAACACAAAATTGCTTCAAGAACGAAAGCCTCGTTTTAGAACGCACTGACCTTTTGCATAAATGGGACGTATTATGTGCAATGCATAATGCTAGAAGCGTGAACACCTCACCCACCGCGCCACCACATACTATATCAATTATTTGGAAGCACGAGACATATCCAACAACTAAGAATAGGTTACACTAAAATAGCACAGCTTTCCTTTTAAATGCTGGATATTTATAGGGACATATAACGCTATCATATAATTATAAATGACTAAAGAACACTAAAAGTCAATGCGTGCGTGTTGCTTTTTCTACGCAGTCGCAAGGGCAGTGCCACAAAAGGGACATTTTGACTCAGCAGTTGAATCTTGAACACTTGTTCTGCCATTGTTCGTTTATAACCTTCTTCTGCTAAGCCGAAGTATTGCTGTAATTTCACATTGATTCCATACATTTTGTTAAGTTGTTTAATATTCTGTCGAGATATTTTAAACACCTGCAACATGGGACACCTTATACGCGGCACACGGGGCCAATACATTCACACTGATTTGTGGTAGTTGGCGTAGAAGTAGTAAAAAAAGATGCCGCAAAGAACATTTTTGAATCTAAATGGCGATGAAGCACGTTATATTTCCTGACGGTATCTTTTGTGTTTATCATGATGCACAGCCACAATCATACCGAACGACAACGCTGGTAGTTTTTAGTGTTAGTGCATCATAAGTGCCGTTCGCAAGTTAACTGGATACATATGACGGATGGATATGTGGCTTTTAACGTCCCGAAACCATCACGTGATTATGAGAGACGTCGTATGGAGGGCTCCGGAAATTTTGACCACCTGGGGTTCTTTAACGTGCACCCAAATCTGAGCGCATGGGCCTACAGCATTCTCGCCTCCGTCGAAAATGCAGCCGCCGCGGCCGGGATTCGATCCCATGACCTGCGGGTTAGCAGCCGAGTACCTTAGCCCCTATACCATAGTAAAGGGGCAATACATATGACTATGATATAGCTATAGTTTCATAGCTGGACGAATAACATACGAAGATGTGCAACAGACTGCTGCGAGGCGGCCGTGCAAAGCATGCGAAGACGCACTCAACACGGTGATAGATGTTTAACATTATACTCCACCACAATGATCACTTTCATTGCTAAGAGGTTCTGCAAATGTTCACAGACACCTAATCAAGAAATAATTCACATATAAATAAGTATGCATGTTTTCCAAACGATTGCTACTCTGTGGGAACGACCTTCGCTCCTTGAGAGTTTTATTTTACAGCTGTCACGTAAACCGCACGGGAGAACGCCTGAGCCTTCCCACGTTCTCAGCGTAGAAGAAGGTGCCACCGAACGGCACAGTGTCGCCGATTTTCCTGCAGAACGCCTTCAGCCAAAATTTTTTTCGTCTCTGAGTCTTCAATTTCGTGACCTTCAGACGCTTTCCTCTTTGACAGAAGGCTAAAAAGACGTATCGATGAGGGCCCGTTCCTTCGGGAGGAGTTGGACCGTTATACTCTACTGCCTGTTCACCCTTGTGCAGTTTCCGCGTGGTGTTGGCGTTGATCACCATCCAGTGCAACCAGCTGCGCAGGCCAGGATATTGGCGGCTTGGTGCGTCCGGGTCCAACATGAGCAGCGCGAACGGTGGCACGCAGTTTATGGCGCCCACCAGAGCAACCTCGGGCATTTCAGCTGTCTGCTGGGGCGTTAGCGTGCCGTTTATAGTCACTGGAATACTCCCGTAAACGACCTTAAGCTGGGCCTCCGGCGCAGCGCCCAGCGAAAGATCATCCACCAGTCCAGCAGCTGTCCATAGTTCAGTCCTTGGTCTCAACTGCTCTTGTGAAGGAAAGCCCGCCTGTCCAGCGGGTATCCATAGATTTGTCTTGGTCTGTAGCACCTCTTGCGCACGAACAGGTGATTTTACGAGTGCCGCGTTAAAATCAAACTGCTCCGCCTGGGCTCCACTCCAAAGCGTCAAAAGAATGAACGCCGAAGAAATGCGGATTACATCCATAGCTCACCCGGTTCGCTGCAACTCGTACAGATACTGAACGGAACCGCACGGTATATGCGGAATTAACATACTCGCGAGAACCTGGCGGGCGGCGGCTGCGCTACCGCTCTCCTGCACATATGTAATATACATACAGCAACTGCCGATATATAGCTGGCCATCTGCTGCACGCGTCATGTGTTTTGCTGATGCCGTCTTTGTCGTTTTGTCTGCACAGCGTTCAGACGGGCAGCTGTGCCGGCGTCGGCGCTGATGCGAGCTCTGCCTCACAAATACTGCGTGCTTATTTTAGATGTGAACTTTGAGAAGACGTTCACACGTATGGACTTTCTGTTTCTTGTTTGTAAGTCACTTTGCTGCTGTACGTTTTTTATGATTTTTGTGATTTTATAGTTAACTAGATATTCATACCACCTTAAGTATAGTAACAAAAGCTTACGTAAAACTAGGCTCTAACCCCCCCCCCCCTTCCTATAAATGCGTGAGTAAATGTTGGTGTATACTTGATGACTGTTCTTCCTTCCCTCTTGGGCAAATATTACATGTATAATACAAGCCAATTTAAAGCATTAGAGTGAACGAAGCAGGATCAGCAGCACACATCAAATATTCCTAGGCTCCTACAAATGATAATGATATGTGGTGTTTAACGTCCCAAAACAACCATATGATTAGGCTCCTACAAACAGACAAACGAAGTTAGGCAAAACGTGCTTAAACATGCTCCAGATATATACTCTTCTGTATACCAACTTCTACCCTGTCAAGAACAGAGTATTATTATGATCGAGGCAAGGCAGTATTGGAAGGTCATTCGGATTAATTTTGACCCGCGGAGATCATTCACCGTGCATCTAAATCTAAGCCCAGGTCTGTTTGCTGCCCTTATTGATCATCTGTAGGTCCGAAAAACAAAACTAACAAACATCGGAGACATGAACGTAGTATATATGTGGGGCTTAATGTTCCAAAACCACCATATGATTATGAGAGACGCCGAAGTGGAGGGCTCCGGAAATTTTGACCACCTGGGGTTCTTTAACGTGCACCCTAATCTGAGCACACGAGCTCATAAATGTCCCTAAATAAACACTGGAGGGAACACTGGCGCTAGTGTCTATGGAAGCTGCAACGCACGGCGCTTCAGCGTGCATGGGAATGATGGGTAGTGCACGGATTTGCCTGTATAATTTTCGTACTTCAGTCTCCACGTGTGTTCGTGTGGCTTGGAGCTGTTTTCTCACGAAACACAAAACAGCAAATGTTCAGCGGTGTCGTTTCACCATCTTATTCTTTCAGGCTTACCATTTTAAATCTGATCACGAAGTTCAAAAGGGTTCATTTTTTTCCGTCGAAACTAACCTAAACAAAACAATCAACGAAGCCACAAGTGCGATTCACCGCTCGCGAGTACGAAGACTAGGCAAATCCTCGTACTACCCATCATTTCCATGGTTGCTGAACGATCGCAGCGCCAGAGTCCCTCTCTAGTTAAGTTCGAGGGAAACTCTATGCACGGGCCTACAACATTTCCGTCCTCCATCGGAAATGCAGCCGCCACAGCCGGGATTGGTCCCGCGACCTGCGGGTCAGCAGCCGAGTACCTTAGCCACTAGACCACCGCTGGCGGGGTGGTGAGCGAGTGAGTGAGTAGGTTAGTGATGATAATGATGATGATGATGATTGATGATGCTGATGTCTCTACCACATGTATCAAACCACTCGGAGAATTGGCCAAGAATTGGTTATATGAAATTTTTAGTAATTTAAAGTATGAAATATTGACAAGAAAATAGAAAAAACAAACATACCTAAAACAGAAAGAGTAAAATGATTGTTTTTTGTCATTCAGGTCAGATTGTAAAGTCTTCATCTTGAATAGAAAAAACAGCAATAGTCTTCCGCACCTGTCTCACTTAAACTACTAATGTACAAGACGCCGATTCGTATCAAGATAGAATACGCCGTTGCAGTATGGGTTCCGAGTTCAATTCATTTAATCAATGCTCTTGAACTAATCCAAAACCATTCTGTTCGCTTCATTCTTCACAACTACAGTCGTCACGCTAGTATTTCTGCCATGAAAAATTCACTCGAATCGCCGTCTCTTGCCTCTCGTCTTATACTCTTCCGCCTTTGTCTATTTCACAAAATTTATAATCATATTCCAACTCCTCGCGAGGCACTCATTTTTCAGCCTTTTTACGTATCCTCTAGAGTTGATTATCCTAATAAAGTTGGTGTTATGTCATGTCTAACCAAAACATGCACCGATTCATTTATTCCCAGAACATCAGTAGACTGGAACCGCCTTCGCGGATCTGTGGCCATCTTGATCGATCATCACTTGTTTCGTTTTGCGCTGACTAGCATTGTATAAACGCCCGCACTCACTTATTTGTTCTGTTTGTACAAAATGCTTATGTTTTGTTCTTTTTTGTTTAGTTATTTTTCATTGTTAGCTAACATTGTATGAGTAAAAAAAATTGTGTTTCACCCCCCTCCATAATGCCTTTGGCCCGGAGGGTAGTATGAAATAAATAAACGAATAAAAATTCTGTTCTGGTTCAGCTCAGTACATATATTATAATGCTTACACAGGTGGGAATTTAGAATTGCATTCGTTTTGTTTCATGCCAACTTTGTTCTTGTCTTAGGCTTTCGCTGGTATTTCTTGTACCTAAACATATGCTTGAAACGGTGCAGCTTTTTTCGCTCCTGGACTCCTAACCATCCTTCGGGGCGCGAAGTCTGTCCCATGCCTTTACTCACTCGTACCTGTCCCATCGTCGTCGTAAGGGTGGGTTATGACCACGCAGCATTTTCACTGTAATGGCGACAGAGAAACCCCTGAAGTTGCCTTCAAAGAACTTCTTACTTCCCAGTTTCAACGCCGAAACTAAAGCCGAAAACTAGAGGTTGGCCATTGTGAAAAAGACTCAATCGCTTCATTTTTGTTTTTTTCATTCATTGTGTAGCTTGTATCCTTTCGGACTCGACAAAAAAAAAGGGGGCGGGGCGAAATTTGCCTCTTCCTCCTCCCAGTGGAGAACAATACTTACGCCTTCATTTCATTTATTAGACCTTAAAAGCCCGACAGCATGGTATAACAGGGAAGAGGGATACACGGGTTTTGAAACGGCACAATGAAAGTAATTGATACGAAATCAAACAAAAGAAAGATAACACAGAAATGTAGCATCGGGCAATACAAGGGCAATTCAACAATACGTTATGGCAGGTAGGGGCTCGGGAACCGGAGAGCAGTGAGGGCCGTTGCCCATACAGGTTCAAAACCGGATGGGGCGTGCCCCCACACCACTGTTCCAACCCCTCGTATTGTTTTCTCCGCTACCAACCGTGATGCTAGAGACTTCTTTGACTAGTTAAAGGGCGTTCTCTTCCTTTAACAAACGAAGCAAAATTTTCTGCGAGTCGGAGTTCTGACAATATTTTTCGGTGTTTTGTCTGCGTGAGTAGCACTGCCTGCTTTCGCCTTGTTCAACGTATACCTTCTGAAGTGGTTCTCCAGGAGGTAAAGGCCGGTCCTCATGCAGCCCTTGCAGGAGCATGACTCAGTGACATGACTTTAGGACGCCACGTGTTCTCTCCCTCCTTCTTTGGTGTGGTGATAAAATGAATAACGTGAAAAATCATATCCAATCACACGAGAATAAACGAGATGGGAAAAAAAGGCCGGTGCAAGCCTCCTCCCACATAATCACAATTTTAAACCATGATGGGGCGTAGCCTGAAACCTTTTTTAGGGGGTTCTGAACTCCCTTTATTTATGTTTTTGGGTGTGTTCGTATGGCTGCACGTACATATTCACACACAAAATGTAATAATTTCAGGGTGGTGGTGGATGAACCCCCAAACCTCCCACAAAATTCGCCAAAGAACTTTTCGCTTGAAATGTTCGGTTTATTTCGGCTCAGACTACCTCGGTTTTTCCACACATAATGACCGTAGTGAAAATCGGAAAGAAAAAGCGCGGCCCACGGTCTTGTTGCTGGAGTGGAGGTTTGCGATCGGGAATCTCTCACTAGGCGCATGTTAACCTCCACGCACAATGTGAGCTTTCGTGGGCAGACGAAGGGACGAATTGACGATAAAAATAAACACGGGATTTATATAACACTGTAAATATGAAATTACACGCTGATCTTTTGCATGCATGTTGCATTAACTGTGCACACAGTACCAGAGTATCAAGCCACTGAGAACAGTGGTCACGTTTTGCAAACTCCTGTTATCTCTGCACATGAACTTGTTGTGAAACGAAACTGATTGAAACGGAAAAGTCGAAGGAGAAAATGCGCTCGGGACGCAGGCTTGCTCTCGTCAAGGTTTTGTGATGCAATTAGGATGTCATTATGTCTTCCAACTTAGGACGCCACAACAAAAACGTATATAGAAGAAATATAACTCACGTATATTACTAACGCGCCTTCAACTTTCCTGCAGTGGTCACAAACGCAGTCCGGCCGCGATTCGTCGAAAGCTTTATATTCCCTCGTTCCTATACTTCGCTCCTGCCGGTGGCGGCATTCAGGTGTAGCGACCCCAATGATGTTTACGCCGTCAATACGAGCGAGCGAGTGATTCTGCCTCGAATTTTACACGTGCTGGACCGCTGTCCCGCAGATAACTATGGGGTTTGGACGCTTTCGATAACATGACCAATTTCTCCTAACTGAAACTCTTCCGCCTGCTCTCCGAATGCGTCCTCCATCACCCTTCTTTCACTGTTCTACCTCGCCTCTACTGACTGCATGGAGCCTTTCTCCAGTTCTCGCAAATGAAATCGCTATTAATAAAAAAAACACAAAATGAACTACACAAGTACATAAACATATTCGGGAAAATGACACCTTGTATGCCGTCGACGAAAAATGAAACGAGGCTTCGCTTTCTGTCTGTTGCTGCCGAGACGTAGTGCGTGCAGAAAGAGCAGCCACAAGAGCATGGGGTATCATTCTAGACTCACTGAAATCCTATCCTGCTGCCATCGCGGTAATCAGAAAAGCGGTGGCTATGCAGCGTCCTTTTGTACACGTGGTGATGCATCGTGGCGTCTTCGAATGCGCTGAGAACAATGGGATTCGTGGCAAATTCGCTTTAGCACCGAGTCTGGGACGAGGGAGTTTGAGTACGACATATCCAGTCTTTGCTTACAAATATATCCTCTAATAAGTCATCTTCACATTCAACGCAAACTGCACGGATTTTTCAATGCCCTTGTTCATTTGAGCTGAACTTTACATTTTTCGTTAGCGTCCCATAGAAGTCCTGATCTGGCTGCGAGTATATCTGACGCCTAAGCTGGAAAAGGTTTATATGCACATGTTTTACCCACTGCCTGGGGAGAGAAGGTGGACAAAAAATATCCACTTCACTGCGCGGCTTCAGTGATGCGGTAAGGTACAACAGTACTTCCTTTTCGAGTACGCTTGTGCCATCTGGGACCCGCACCGATCTAATCTATTTAAACTGTTGTAATCTATTCAGAATAGGGCAGCAAGGTTCAATTGCTCTGAATATTCATATCCCTCAAGTGTCACTAATCTGAAAGACCGAGCCCAACTTCAGAACCTAGAATTGCGACGCAAGGCCGCTAGACTAATCCTTTTTCACAATGTTTTTCATTCATTGTCTGACGGATCCGGTATCTTGCCCGCACCTCGAATCTCTTCTCGTACTAGCCACCACAACACTGTTTATTCTGCGCATACCCGCACAACTGCCCACCTTCGCTCGTTCTTTATTCAAACAGCAAAGGATCGGAATGATCTTCCACCCGACGTCGTGCACCACACAAGCCCAGTTCTGTTCAAAACCCACATCGAAAGAAATTCGTACCCCAGCCCACCCCTCATGTAACACCCCGCTGGGGCATTTGATGTATATTAAATAAACAAAGAACTCCAGCTCAAAGTTTCGCGTTTGACGCTCCACGTAAACATGCTATGGGGCTTTCATGAGATAGCATCAGCGTGATTTGGTCGATACAGGCTATGGATGAGGTACAAAACACACTCACACAAAAGGCGGATGGAGCTGTAAGCAAACCAAATTGGGAATGTCTAATCTCCCGGCAGTTGGGAAAATAATTTCACCAGGCAGTCGGTGGGCTTGTGTGAATAGTCAACTTGAAAACCTAATCAACGTGTGATTAGGTTTTAGGTAATCAACATTTCATTAGGTTTGTGAAAAACTAATCAACAGGCCTGCGCAGAACGCGCATCACTGTCACAGCGAAAGCTCGAGGAGCGGACTTTCAGAGCCTTTTGAGTAACTGCTACGAGCACACTTGTTAGGTACCCACAACGCCATCAATAATCATAACTTTAGGGTAGTAGGCTAGCACTCAATATATGCTATCATTCATCATTCTTCGGGGAAGCATGGTATCCGCTACACACTTGTTAAGAAAATTGTCCGAAATTTTTGTGCAGTGGCTAACGACGATGAATAATTATGCCTGAAGTTGGTATGCGCCACAGTTATTTTCCCTCCTACAGTACACATTACGGTGTAGGGATTTCACACACTTAAAATGAGACAAAATTTATCAGACCCTGCACTGACTGCTTCTCCGGAGTACAACCACTTGTTATTTCCCTGGCGCAGTGAGCTGTCTAATTCAAGGATGAGGTAAGTTGTCATCACAAAGTTTCGTTGCCACGTTATCACCCTCAATTTGTACTTGCATAGATCAGGTTTATTGAATTCCCCTATGTGCATTTACTGTAATCAAAAGGAAACGATTAGTCATTTTTTATTATATTGTCGCCGTTTTCATTTATTCAGGCAAAGCATACTAGCACCACCTCTTCAAAAACTGGGCTTGCAATTATCAGAACCTGCTCTTCTCTCATTTGGAGCCTCTCTACACTGGGTTTCAGCCACAGGGATGTTTTATTCGCCGTTCAGGAATACTTCACTGTGACTAAACGATTTTCTTGGCTAAATTGTGGTCTCGCTATTGTTCTTTTCCTTTATTTTTTTCTTCAAAATCGCAATTGGCACTTCGAATCATATAAATAACTAAATTTTTTTACGAGTGAAGCAATGCACAAAGTATCGGGCAAATTCACCTTATTATCGGCCAATCCACTCCTCTCGGTACGAGCCATGTGCAAAGGAAAACAACAACAACAACAATGATAGATGAACAAGAACAAGCTTTTGTAATAAGTTCGCTCATTCGACGACCGACTTTTCACATGATTCGCATTGTGTGACGCCTGGTTGTTCCTTTGATGTTTTAAAACACTTTATCACTCATATTAGCGCGATTCCTTTCCCAACATCAATCCTGCCTAAGGCCAGTATTGAAGTGAGCTTCAAGCGCAGGCCGGCGTGGCTCAGTGGTAAAATACTGGGCTGGCACGCAGCGGACCCGTCGTCGAATACCATTGTGTTCTTAGTGTTTGTTTATTTACTGAGTTTTTGTCTCATTTCTTGCGATATTGGTTACGGACACCGGCAGTGGCGGCGGCGGACAACTATGGCACCACACGTGACCTGTGTTGTGATCTCAAAACAACTTTGATTGATTGATTGATATGTGAGGTTTCATTTCCCAAAACCCACATATGATTATGAGAGACGCCGTAGTAGATGGCTCCAGAAATGTGACCACCTGGGGTTCTTTCAAGTTCACCCGAATCTGAGCACAAATATTTCGAAACAGCTTTCGCTGTAAAAGCCACTAAACAGACGTAATCTTGGTGAAACGTTGATTGTGGTTGCAGCGCTGCCCACCTAATGTCAAACATTGGATGCAAGCCACTGATACAGGCTTCGTGCCAGGCCAGGCCCAAATTTTAGTTAAGCGCCATCTACTTAAGGTATAGTCTACGTAGCACTATCCAGAACTCCCTCTTTCAAGCCCAAGCCCTACATTTCTGCTTTCTACTTCTGGTGTTGGTTATACCCACGTTGCTCTTGGGTTCTTTTTGCAACTGTAGACACCTGGTTGTGTAAATCATGCTCCAATGTGTAAGATGCATGTCGGTCCGTATAACATTTGTGCACATGTTTAGCGTGATTTCGCAACGTTTAGTTCAATCGGAAAATTGCAGCAAAGTCAGCTTCCCTCTGCATGCTTCGCGTAACATCAATTTCTATGGTACATGGGATCTGTCGAATTTTTTTTTGCTTCATAGATGCACCATTCACAGTCACTCATCTGAACAAATATTTAGGTAAAGTACCCTGCAGGCTTAGATAAGGAATGTTTAAGAGTAGTGCTTACCTGAAGTCCTTAACTGCAACTGTTTACCATTGGGCTTCTCAAAGCGGGTAAAGTTATCCCTTGTCGGGTTCACGTTACCGTTAATGATGTAGCACTTGTAGTTATTGACACTGAAAGTTAGATCGACAGAAAACATCTTCCACGACGTCATAGCGGGTGGAAGACTTGTATAGGAACATGCATCATGTCGTACATCTAAGCCATATTTATGATCTTTCGAAAAAAAAAAACGAAAGTGTGAGGGAACTTATAGCTATATATGCAGTGAGTCTAATGACCTACGGCGGGTGATGTGGCACATTGCATTGCACATAATCTTGTCATCTGCCAAGCAATATGAAGCATACTGCATCACTTTGACGTATTACCGACTGTGCAATGTCAAATGTATCCCGTGCATGCCCCTGTTTATTCTGACCACTCACACTAATGCTGGGTACTGCTGTATCCTTTCGTTTAACACAATTTTAATGCTCTAAGCACTCCCAATTTTTTTTTCTGGCGCAAAGGTTGCAGAGACGAAGTAAGTAATGCGCGCGCGCAAGAGCGCTAACTTTTTCTTTTGTAGCAAAAGTTTTTGTCCTCTCACAGCCTTGAAACAACTCTTTTCATAACAATCGCGGGAATAAATATAAAAATAAATAAATAAACTGCACAAGCACTTTGTTCAGACACTTAAGCAGTGAAAGCGAAACATGCAGCCCCGGTGTTTATTTTGCATACGCTCTTCACTTTTTGTGAAGCAGTGGTATGTAATTTGGCCCTTCCTGATTCCTGTGGCACGATCAAAAAGACAGTGCAAAAACAATGGATGAATATGTCTTATAGTTATTCCGTTATTTTCGCACTGTTTTTTTTACTTTTTTAAGGAACTAGCCCGAATTAGCACCTTTGGGAAGTTTTGAGGCACATACGTCATTGGAAGTTTTTTGCGGACACAGGGCGGACAAATTTTAGTTTCCCCTAACCATGTAGAGCTTCACTGCATAATAAAAGATATCTCAGAGGGGATAAAACGGCCTCCTATGGAAGCTGCGCTCTGTAACCCTGTAAACGCTTATCGGCTACAACGTTTGAGAATTTCGTTTTACACCTGGGCAGCGCCCCTTCATTTACACAATGGCAGAACACAAATCGTGTGTGCGCTTCAAGGTATCACCATAAAACAGACGACGTCGATGGTCGGCTGCGGCAATTGTATAGTTCACCTGAGTGAACTACGTATCATGACAGTTCACGTGTGTTCTCGCTAGCACACGCTGTAAACAGAGGATTGAAATTACACGGAGCCCTCCACTCACAGCCTGAGCCGCTTTGGAATGTTAATCTGGTCAGACGGACTTTGAAAAATTATATTTTCACATTTGACGTGTATCAGCGCTAGCTGCTTGGCCAGATTGTGCCTCATGATCTTAAAGAGCTTCTGTGAATTAGCTTCGGTGCCAGCGAAAACACAAAAACACGCGCGCAAGACTAAAGCAGAAGACAGGGACGAACGCTCGAATTTCAACTATATTTCGGCCGTATTTGATGTAAGCGCATCTGACAACGACGTACACGCTATCGAACGTTAGCAAGATTTCCTGTTTTATGCTCCTTTGATATATACGTTCTCTGCCGACAGCTTATTTTAAGATGATAGCGAGTAACATCTTTGTAAATGCGATGCGTTGATTGGTATGTGGGGTTTAACGTCCCAAAACCACCATATGATTATGAAAGACGCCGTAGTGGAGGGCTCCGGAAATTTCGACCACCTGGGGTTCTTTAACGTGCACCCAAATCTGAGCACACGGGCCTACAACATTTTCGCCTCCATCAGAAATGCAGCCGCCGCAGCCGGGATTCGAACCAGCGACCGGCGAGTCAGCAGCCGAGTACCTTAGCCTCTAGACCACCACGGCGGGGCGTAAATGTGATCCGAAGGAAGATGTTGTCACGTTGCAATCAGCGCTGAGCCAAGATGAGGTAAATCTCCTAAGTGTATGCGCCAAGTACCACTGAATATTTGCGCATCCGCGTTAAACTTTAACGCGTTTTCAAACATGCCTTTCTAAAATATTTTAACTTCAACCTAATTACTTCGCTATCGTATCTTCTTGATAGCGACTCTTACTTCCGAATACTTGCCTCAGAAGCTGTCGTGCTATAATCTATGCGATGGCGGACAGGATGCTTTCGATACAAATACTTCGTGTCTTTCTCTAAGGATTTAAGCATTTCTGAAATATAGACAGCGTTGTGACTCGAATTCACTACTATACCGCGTAATATTATCTGAAAACAACGTGAATAACTGTTCAAGCACTGCTTGCGTTCACGAAATCACAATTTTAAAAACCTGTAGAGCAGCGAGCATTGCAGATTTGTATCCCATCGTACTTTGCCTCCCATTCCCACAGGCATCAAAAGAGAAAGAGTTTATGTTGTCTATGAACAACACCGACTAAATTTCAAGGCCGAATTGCTGCCGCAGTGACGTCAGAGGGTGGGGGCCCAGTTACGCCGCGAATGCGGTGGAAAGCCAGTGCTTCGTTCACGTTTTAGGAGAACCAATGCTCCCGCTGTCGCAGCTGCTGCGACTAGCTTGGGCTGAATAAAAGATGTGGAAAAAAAATCTTACTGAGCATGCTCAGTAAGATAACTGGGCCCCCACCCTCTGACGTCACTGCGGCAGCCCTTCGGCCTTGAAATTTAGTCGGTGTTGCTATGAGCTATGGTTTGAGTGATTGCGGTGTTATCGCAACGGTGACGTCACTCTGCATGGTGGCGCTCGAGAGGTGGCCAGAAGTGAAGAAGGGGGCCGTTCCCAGCATCTCGACGGTCAGTACCGATAGCCTTTTTCGACGAGCATTCGGCGTCGTCCGAAGGTGCCTCGAAGGCTACGTTGAGGGATAAACGTGGAATACAGCAACTGCGTATACGAAAGGCGGACGGAACAGCCCAGCAAGGAACATTTGGCGTGAGTTCCGCGGATTTTTGTCGCCTTTATTGCACTATACGACTATCTATTTTTAGTAGCGTTTTTATATGTGACTGCAAGTGGAAGATTTTGCCGGCCTCGGTGGCTGCATTGGCGTTGGAGGCGAAAATGTTTCGAGGACCAAGTACTTAAATTTATCTCGTTCAAAGAACCCCGGTAGTCCAAAATTTCCTGAACTCTTCATTACGACCTCCAACGTAATCGTAACGAGATTTTGGGGTGTTAAGTCCTGGCAATCGTGGGAGGTCGCACATTTCATGCAGTATCCGTCGTAGCTGCTCTAAGCGAATATCGACATTTTTTCCGATACCTGAAAGTCATTTCAAACGAGACCAGACGTTCACCTTTGCAGATGCTTTACCACAGAGGCCCCAAAACAGCGTCATTATGTTGTAGTTCGCGAAAAAGAAACGGAACAAGTCTGCCTTCTTCAAACTGGGACATAAAGCCCACCTAGAGGTGAAGCGGTCGCACAACCGCTGGGCAGCTAAATTTCAGCAGAGGAACAATTTCAAATCAATGCCTCGTTTTTTCAGCGATTGGACTAGGAAACATACGCTCGAAATACTGCTCGCATGCCACGACTGGTTTAATTGTAGGTCCGGTTTTTTTTTTTTTTTTTGTCACTGGAAGCCCCGAGCATTGGCACGCTATAGTTGCGCTCTGGTTGCAGATATATCAATAGCAGTTACTCAGTGTAGGTCCACTTTTGTTCTACTTCACTTGCTTACTGCATTCGTTCGCGTAATCTAACTCTATTAAATAATTCTTACGCCGTTGTAACGGGTACTTCATGGATATTGAACCAACTTTGAAAAGGCGACTAGCCGCGACTGTAGGAAACCACGATAATGTGCGGGTGTTTGGGGCCCGTTAGGGTATTTTTTTATATAGTGCTTAGTCAAGTAAAATGAATCATGCATTTTTTTTTCTGAATATGAACTTAACTTCAGCACCAGATGCGCTTTGTTACGTTTTAAGTGGTATTCGAAAACTACCCGTTCGATTTACTGTGATGACCTAATACAACCGACCACAAGTGTTTGCAGCCCCGCCGCAGTGGTCTGGCGGCTAAGGAACTCGGCTGCTGACCCGCAGGTCGCAGGATCGAATCCGGTTGTGGTGGCTGCATTTTCGATGGAGGCGGAAATATTTGTTGTAGGCCCGTGTACTCAGATTTGGGGGCACGTTAAAGAACCCGAGGTGGTCGAAATTTCCGGAGTCCTCCACAACGGCGTCTCTCACAATCACATGATGGTTTTCGGACGTTAAACCCCACATATCAATCAAATGTTTGCAGACCATGCGAGCGCATTTCAAATTGCCTGTTCGCATCACTTAGCGCTGTACCATCTACCGTGGACCGCAGTGCTGGGCCCGAAACGGGTCCTTTTAGTATTAAAGGCGCGCGTGTAGTAGTTTCCTAGCAAACGCTTATCTGCAGTATGACCGTCACATTGATGTTTTCATAGCAGGATCAAAGCTTTCATGGCGTGCTACAAGCGGCGTTCCGTTGGCTATAGGTGTCACTTTGTAAGAAAGATTGCCACTGATAAGAGTTCTGCTCGGACTGCTTCTCGGTGCAGAAGCACGTATCGCAGGTGCCAAAGATTGTCCTGTTAAAAAGCGACAACTGAAAATTTTTTGTACTCAGTCAGAAAAGAGACGGGCCATATAATAAGGGACGGATGCGTTTCTGGAGTAGGGTTCTGTCGACCGCCGCTGTCGTAGCGGAAGTGTCGCGAAGAATCCTTTGGGAACGCGCTCGCGGGGTCCGTGAACTTTTATGGCAGATCTACACACTGTTATGCCAGCGAGTCCTCGTCAAACGACCGTGCCTCTGAAAAAGGCAATCTGGGTCAAGGCCAGCCCGCAGTCGGCCTGGCGCGATCACCTCGACGGCGTGAACACGCGCGGCGCCCCTCTGGCCCACGTGCAGTATCCGTCGTAGCTGCTCTAAGCGAATATCGACATTTTTTCCGATACCTGAAAGTCATTTCAAACGAGACCAGACGTTCACCTTTGCAGATGCTTTACCACAGAGGCCCCAAAACAGCGTCATTATGTTGTAGTTCGCGAAAAAGAAACGGAACAAGTCTGCCTTCTTCAAACTGGGACATAAAGCCCACCTAGAGGTGAAGCGGTCGCACAACCGCTGGGCAGCTAAATTTCAGCAGAGGAACAATTTCAAATCAATGCCTCGTTTTTTCAGCGATTGGACTAGGAAACATACGCTCGAAATACTACTCGCATGCCACGACTGGTTTAATTGCAGGGCCGTTTTTTTTTTTTTTTGTCACTGGAAGCCCCGAGCATTGGCACGCTATAGTTGCGCTCTGGTTGCAGATATATCAATAGCAGTTACTCAGTGTAGGTCCACTTTTGTGCTACTTCGTTTGCTTACTGCTTCGTTCGCGTAATCTAACTCTGTTTAAATAATTCTTACGCCGTTGTAACGGGTACTTCAAGGATATTGCACCAACTTTGAAAAGGCGACTAGCCGCGACTGTAGGAAACCACGATAATGTGCGAGTGTGTGGTGCCCGTTAGGGTATTTTTCATATAGTGCTTAGTCAAGTAAAATGAATCATGCATTTTTTTTCTGAATATGAACTTAACTTCAGCACCAGATGCGCTTTGTTACGTTTTAAGCGGTATTCGAAAACTACCCGTTCGATTTACTGTGGTGACCTAGTACAGCCGAACACAAATTTTTGAAGCCCCGCCACGGTGGTCTAGTGGCTAAGGTACTCGGCTGCTGACCCGCAGGTCGCGGGATCAAATCCCGGTTGTGGTGGCTGCATTTCCTATGGAGGCGGAAATGTTGTAGGCCCGTGTACTCAGATATGGGGGCACGTTAAAAAACCCGAGGTGGTCGAAATTTCCGGAGTCCTCCACAACGGCGTCTCTCATAATCTTGTGGTAGTTTTCGGATGTTAAACCCCACATATCAATCAACTGTTTGCAGACCATGCGAGCGCATTTCAAATTGCCTGTTCGCATCACTTAGCGCTGCACCATCTACCGTGGACCGCAGTGCTGGGCCGGAAACGGGTCCTTTTAGTATTAAAGGCCGCGTGTAGTCCCGTTGTTCGCAGTTTCCTAGCGAAACGCTTATCTGCAGTATGACCGTCACATTGATGTTTTCATAGCAGGATCAAAGCTTTCATGGCGTGCTACAAGCGGCGTTCCGTTGGCTATAGGTGTCACTTTGTAAGAAAGATTGCGACTGATAACAGTTCTGCTCGGACTGCTTCTCGGTGCAGAAGCACGTAGGCGCAGGTGCCAAAGATTGTCCTGTTAAAAAGCGACAACTGAAAATTTTTTGTACTCAGTCAGAAAAGAGACGGGCCATATAATAAGGGACGGATGCGTTTCTGGAGTAGGGTTCTGTCGACCGCCGCTGTCGTAGCGGAAGTGTCGCGAAGAATCGCTCGGGAACGCGCTCGCGGGGTCCGTGAACTTTTATGGCAGATCTACACACGCAGACTGCGTGGTAATGTTTTCAGCATTTAAAGAAACTTAAGCAAGAAAAACAATTAACTTCCAGTGACTGCGCTGATTCGCAACCGTAATAATGCCATCCCAAGCGTGGTTTGAGCCAAAGAGCCGTCTGAATTAGTCATTCCTGGCGCATGGTTTAGTCCTTGGTTTAGCCTTTCCACTTCCACCAGTGTCTTGTGACACGCTGTGGCTGGAAGCCCAGCTGCACGTGCAGTTCTTGTGGTTGTCGCTCGCTTATACCAACTGTGCTTCCGCATGCCACTCGGATACACGCAAGTTGGTCAAACTGTACATTGAGACATCAGTTCTATGAACTAGGGGTTCGTGGTAGTAGGAAGTTTGACATAAACAAAGGTACCGATCACTTAGTAGCACTAGATTGCAATAAGAGCCTGGTCTTCTGTAAATAACGCTGTTATATGCTACATGAAGTGCACATGACAATTGAAATGATTGCTTACGAGTATTCTTTATTCGAAGATTACCCTGCATTGCCCGAAGACGTTATAGCAAGGGGGGGGGGGGTCACAGCAGTGCCATATATTCATTTTACAGCACATTTTTATTTAAGAGAACTCTTGCCACTTTTCACGAGTTTTAACAAAAAATATTTTGCGTTAGGTTGATCTTGGTACGCGAGTCTCTCGTTTTGAAAACATGGGCGATTCCAGATGGATGGTAATGAAGTTCCTTAAAGTATTTTTCTTTGTTACGTTCTAGTGGCTAAGGTACTCGGCTGCTGACCCGCAGGTCGCGGGAACGAATCCCGGCTGCGGCGGCTGCATTTCCGATGGAGGCGGAAATGACGTAGGCCCGGGTGCTCAGATTTGGGTGCACGTTAAAGAACCCCAGGTGGTCAACAATCCCGGAGCTCTCCACTACGGCGTCTCTCATAATCATATGGTGGTTTCGGGACGTTAAATCCCACATATCAATCAATCTATCAATCATTCTTTTGTTACGTCCCGTTTTATTATTTTATATTTGAAAAAAGGTTTGTCTCAGTGCTCGCTGACGCAACGAAAGCAGTTTCTACAAAAATTAGGTTTCAGTGTATACATGCGTATTGCATAGGCACTTGAATGAAAACACCACACCCAGATATTTTTTATACGACTAATCTTTTTGCACGTTTCATTCCTTAAAATATACTGTCACCATTGGTTTCCATAACCGTGTAAAGGAAATATGGACGCACTTTTCCTATTTAGGTTCATTTTACACATAAAACATCGATTCTAAACGCGTTACAAATTAGTTTGATGTTGTGTCAGATCGCTGTGACCCTTTAGTTGTCTATGCACAACACAATCGTTTGCAAGCAATCTAATTTGTGACGAAACGCCTACAGAAATATCACTTATGGAAACTAAAAATAAAAGTGACCCCAATACGAAACTTGTGTAACTCGCGAAGTCACGTTAACACATTTGGAGCTTTTGCCGTTTAAAATGACGCAGTGTCGGAGCTGGAAC